GAGCAGCTGGTAGTTTCGAACCGCTGACCTTAAGGTTCGCAGCCCGATTCGTAACCACTACGCTACCAGAGTATATATATATAAATTAAGCTAACACTTAATTTAAAATCTGACTCTTGAACTATGCACCTAAAGTTACTACGTTTGTTCAACTAAAAGGTAAAATGAAATCATAGGGAAATTTCTCAAAATGCAAAACTTATCAATAAAAGCATACTACCAAACCTCAATACAACAGACTTTTCGAGTCTTTAGAATGTACTCTCAAAGAGAAGGAAATGAAATGAATGACTCACAGTCCAGGCCTCTTTTTTTTTTTTTTAAACTGTACCACAATTCTTTCTCTCCCTTTCCCCCGCTCTATTAAAATAGAGCATGCTAACAGAAAGACCATCTAACTGTGAAACTGATCTGGGTTCTAATCCTACTCTGCCATTAAGGTGTTGTGGCACCTTGGCTAAGTCACTTCCCTGTCTCCAGGCTTCAGCTTTTCTCATTATATTCTATGAAAGACTTTCTCCCGCATCTCCTTTCTAGTAGTAACATGCTATGATCTTTTCCTATCCAATTAAACAAAAATACGCTGTCACTGGAAAAGAAATTAGAGATTTCCAGCCAGAAGAACTAAAAAGTCTGGGTTGCTGTTTTTAAAAAGATCCATAAATTCAATTTAGCAGATTGGCACTAAAGCATTTTACTCCAGAATATCTTTAGGGAGGGTCCCACCACCCCTACTCTAGTGTGGGGCAGCTGTAATGTACTAGGAAAAATACTGGTCCAGGGATCCCAACTCTATCACTTGTAAACTGTGTCTCCCAGGACAATTCATTTAGCCTTTCTGAGTATAACGTTCCTCACATGCATAAGCGAAGATAAAAGTAAGGAAATTTGACCTTTAAAGAGCAAAGAAAATAAATGTTTATAAAGTTATAAAAGTGGCTTATATTGTAAAGCTGGGGAAGTGGAGATGATCTGTTACTAAGGAAAACTAGGCTGTGTTGGAATTGAAAGTCTTTCTAAAAACCAAAACACAAAAATGACCCAAAAAAGGGTTGATTTTTAACTTATTAAATTTGCTTTTAAAACTCAGAATACCAAAAAGAAGACAACACTAGGGCAGGAAAGCAAGAAAACAAACAATTTTAAGAAAATGGATTGGGGATTTGGATTTGGCTAATTAATAAAACATGAAACAACTCTCAACTGCCTATTCAGCGTAGTGAAATTTGGTAGAATCATCTGAAAACACAATAGCAAGGAACATTTCTTAAAATGCCCAATTCAGTTTATTAATCTCTTAAGAGTTTGTATGAGGTGACATTCCACTTCACACCAAAGGTTAGGAGGTATTTCTGATGACCAAATATTTAGTGAGACAGTCTGCTTCCCCAAATCAAGACTTCTCACTGCATTTCCACGTAGTTCTTAGTTGCCCAGTCAAGTCTCCTTACTGAGCTTTATACAAATAACACAACCTGTGGAAATGGACAGAGGAAACTGTAAATGATGCCAACCTTTTTTCTTTCCACCCAGCACAGCTAGTTCTTTTCTTATGAGTCAAATTCTCTTCCAATTCCCCTCCCTGATACAACATGGAGCCTTGAAATCCACAAACTGACACTAATTTTTATGCATGGAGCTCAACGTGCTCAGTATTAGGGAAGGTTAGAGTTTAAAATCAGGAAACTGGTTCCCAACATACTTTTTTAATTTTTTACTTTCACCCAGTATCAAAGGATCAAAGTACTTGAGGAGCTGTATTATCCCATTGGGGATGAAGTGACTCTATCAATTCTATTAAAATGACTCATTCGATTTAGCTAAGCTAAATAGCTCCAAGTTCTGGATACTTCCTCCCAAAGTAAGCATTGGGTGAAGTGAACAAATTTGCTAATTCCAAGAAAGGACAGAGAAGGGTATGAACATTTGAGTACTCTCTCAGTGCCAGATACTGGACTAGGCAGTTCACACAGCTCCAGATGTAACTGTCATTCAAAATGAAATTGATTTCACTCAGTGAAATGGAGCAATATTTATACTGCTCTTCTAAACTGTTATATCCTCCTCCCCTTCACTCCACATACATACACACAAAATTAGTGCAATAATTTAATAGTGAATTGACAATTTATTCATTTGAGAGTTCCAGACACCAAAATTTAATGCGAAAGAGCTACACAAAAATCCAAAAGTATTGTCTATCCTCGGCAGAGTTGAAGCCCTATGGGGCAGTTTACTCTGTCTCCCATACAGATTTACAGCCTGGAAAACCCTATACAAAGTTACTGTAAGTTGGAACTGACTCCAAGGCACATCACCATCACCACCACCACCATAGGGTCAGAGTAAAGCACAAAGTCGATGGTTCAAACTCACCAGTCACTCCTTAGAAACCTTATACAGGGTTGCTATGAGTCGACGGCACTTAACAGCAACACAGGGTCAGTATGAGTTGGAATGGACTCCATAGCAGTGGGGTGGGTTTATCATGCAGCAATGAACTTGTCTGATGTTGGACTTGAAGGAGAGTCAGTTCCATCTCAAGACTGGCCAAAGTGATCTCACCAAAAAACAAAACAAATCTACTGTGGTTGAGTTTATTCCGACTCATACAGACCCTGTAGGGCAAACGAGAACTGTCCCATAGGGTTCTCAAGGCTATAATCTTTATGGAAGCAGACTGCCTCACCTTTCTCCACAAAGAAGTATCAAAACCACCCCAAACCCCACAATAATGATATGAAGGTTGGTGGCAACACAAACACATCTGTAATCTACCAATGCACATGTCTTGATGGCTTTGCTGTGAAAACTTTTCTTGGTTTTTATTATGCACCACACACATTAAGCTTTAGAACCAGAGTATGGGTAAAGATTAGCATCAAACACCATCTTTTCTTTCCCAAGGAAGCATGACAATTGAAGGCAGTTGAACTGGAACCATTATTGGTGACTGACACCAACATACACATTTTACCCAGCACGAAAATAAGAGTTCACTCTCCCTAGCTCCAGCTGAGCCAATACAAAAAAGAAAAGTTCCGCGAAATCGCTTTCAACATCATCCCAACTTTGAAAAGTGAAAGAATGGGTCAAGTGGAAATTGTGATCAAGCGAAACATTCCAACTACTGCACTTCCTACTCAAAATCTCCTCTATTAATCACCACTAAAACATCTTGCAGAATTCGATAAAGAGCACAAAGCTGTGGCTCTCCTTCCAACCACCAGATTACTCAGCACTTGTTTGTCTGTCTGTAGCCGCTTGTGTACACGTACGTCCGGCTACCCATTTAGACCGCATTCTCCCTGACGCCAAAGACTCAGTCTTCCACGAGCTGTAGCCTCCAGGTAAGGAGCAATTTTACTAACACCGCTAATCGATAGCAAGTCAACTAGAGGACTTTACTAGCTACATACCCAACCTTGCCTTCGCTTCTTTGCTTCCTGTGCAAGGAAACGAGACGGCAAACACACACAAGTTACAGCACTAAAAGGAAGGAAAAACCCCCAAAAGTGAAGTGCATTTACCCCTACTCTTACCCCTTTCATCTATGGTCCCCGAGGCCAAAATGGATGTTTGAAAGGGAATCCCTGGACCCCACGAATACGAATCGCAGGCTCTCATGCACGCAAGCTGTCCCACCTCGCAGAAAACAGGAGAAGTTGAAAAATGGGGCTACGCGAGAGTCCCCGGTGTCTTTTACCGCGAAGGGGGGAGACGTGGTTCCCCGAGAGGGGCGACTCCCCTCCCCTGCCTCACCCTCCCTAAGGAACCCCAGGTTTGGGGGTTGAAGTGCCCGAATGTGACTGTGGGGAGCTGCGGGACCTGAAAGAAGTGCGAGGCACTGGAAAAGCCAGGGAACCGGGATGCTCGGCGTCGGGGCTATAACTCCAGTTACTTACCCTCCGGGGTAACTGCCTCCTAGGTGCACATCTTCAGGGGCATCAAAGAATTCCTCGGTGTCGCTCTCCGACGCCATTTATAGGACACACCCGCGGGTGAGGGGGCCGGCGCCGCCTGGAAGGAGGGTGACTCTGGTCTCCTCCTTGTCCTCCTCCACCCGGGCGAAACCGGGGGAGGTGGGTCTCGGGCAAAGATGAGCAGGGAGCAGAAGATCTAAAGTGAAGAGTCGGGGAGCGACTAGGGGGCCGCCCTCAGCTGCCGGGCTGAGGTAATGACCGACAGAACGTCCGCCAGATGTGGTGGGTCCGGAGGCTGCTGCTGCCGCCGCCGCCGCCACCGCTTCTGGCGATAGGTGTATAAGGAGAGCTCAAGAAGAGGCGGTGGCTCTTCTCTGTGGGGGAGGGCGGGAGCGCCGGCGACAGCAGCTCCAATTTCTCCCGCAGCAGCAATTACAGCAGCTGAGAGAGCTGGTAGCCCGCAAAATAGCGACGCGCACCTATCATCGCGAGATTTCGGAGGGGGCCGGTAAAGCGTGGGCGTGGCGAAGAAAAGGCGGGGCAGTTCCAGAGAGGCAGCGCTCAGATTACTTTTGCCCCAGAAGCCTATCAGAACGGCGCAAGCGCACTGAAGGAGTTAGGAGCCGGAAGTAGCCGAAAAGGGAAGCGGTGAGCCTCTATAAGGGAGGAGTCTAGAACCTGCGCAGGAACAACGTAGTGCCTAGGTTCTGAGGTCCTGCGCTCAATGTTAGTAGGGTCCTGCTGAGTGCTTTATCCATTTAAGCAAGAATTCCAAAGGGATGATTTTCAGTCTGTCATGTTTAAAATTTTTAAAATTATATATGAGGAAATGTTGCGGAGGCCCTTTTCACCAGCATTTATATGGTCTTAATTTATCAGACCCTGGGGCATAGGCAAGTTCATCACCTCTTGTGTTGCATAAATAGCCTGCACTGTTTACAACAAGATCTCTAATTGAGATTCTTAGATACAGTCCTGTTGGCCAGAGGGTGGAGTCCATGAGATATGGGAGGAGTGTGCTAGTTCCACTGAGGAAAGATGGATTTATTACTGGAGCTGAACCAATATAAGGCCCTTGGTTACTTTTTCCCTTCCAAATAATCTGTCGCTGCCCCCACTTAATGTGAAAGAAATTCTTACATACGACACAAGATGTGGGTCAGTCAAATGGTGAATACAAAGGGACTTCACAAAGTTCACGGACTTAAAAGATCTTAGAATTTTTCCGTGAACATTTTGAAGCCACCTCATATGTACTGAGCAAATAACAATTGCAAGGCTAATCACATAGTAACTTAATTCTAATCCTCCACTGTCCCAATGTTCAGTGATGAAAACAGAAAGACAAGATATGCTTTCTTAAGCAAGAGGTCATTAACTTTCCTCTTGATGTGGAGCTGTAGGATCAGCACTGGACTGGGAACCACAAGATCGGCATTTCAAACCTACCAGATGCTCCTCAGAAACCCTATACAGGGTCACTAGGAGTCGAACTGACTTGTACTCAACAACAACATGATCGTGAAGCTCAATGATTTCTCGCACTGACATCACTGCAGGCAGACTCTCTGAGTCCTTTGCACGGCCTCAATTGTCGCTCAAGATGACAGCAGAAAGGACTGAAGTGGGGCCAGGCATATGGCTTCAGAGAAGATAGGATGGGGTTTGGACAACTCTTTCTAAAGTAACCGGGGCAAACGCTGGTGTCATTTGAACTTATGTAAAATTGAAATTCCATATACTGTACGAGGGGACTTCAAAAAGTTCTTGGAAAAATTCCATTAGCTTGTAATTCCAATTTTTTGAAGTCCCCTCATATTTTGTTATACCCCAGGGGGTTCAGGGAAAATGCTCCATAATCAAATATAATAATATTTTTGCAGCAAAACATACAATTATTCAGACTAAATGGGGGGGAAATATTGTTGTTGTTAAGTGCCCTTGAGTCGGTTCCAACCCATAGCAACCCTGTGTAGGGTTTCTGAGGAGTAGCTGGTGAGCTTAAACTGCCAACCTTGCAGTTCAAATGGCTTTGCAGTCTGGAGCATTAGCCCAGAGCGCCACAGCAGGACTCCAAGTTGTTGTTAAGTGCTGTTGAGTCAGTTCTGACTCTAGCGACCCAGTATAGGGTTTCCTAGGAGCAGCTGGTGATTTTAAACCGTGGACTTGGCAGTGCAGCGCATTAACACACAGTGCCACACCAGGACTCCATAAATACCAGTAAATAGCCTCATTTCAGTTCAGGTCTCATGAAGAATTTCACTGCCCATGAGTTACTGTAAGAAAAGAAACAAACAAACAACAACAAAAAGAACCTTTTGGTTTTCAGAGGTTTTTGAATTTCAGAATTATAGGCAAGGATTTGTGAGTTAACTGGAGTCCTCGTGGTATGGCCTTGTGGGATAAAGCACCGGATTGCAAGGTTAATTTGAACCACAAGGTTGAAGCTCACCTGTTGCTCCTTGGAAGCCTTATACAGGGTTGCTATGAGTCAGAACCAACTCCAGGGCACTTAACAACAACAACAGTGAGTTTACTGGTGAGGCACTGTAGGACACACACTCGACCGCAAGATTGTTCACCAGTGGCTTCTTGGAAACCTTATATAGGGTCGCTATGAGTCCGAACCGACTCGATGGCAATTGGCAACAATAACAAAGTGAGTTTACTAGTAGCCCTGGTGGTGCAGTGGTTAGGATCTTGGCTGCTAACCAAAAGGTCAGTGGTTCAAACCTACCAGCTACTCTGGGAGAAAGATGTGGCAGCCGACTTCAGTAAAGATTGTTATTATTGTTAGATGTTGGTGAATTCACTCCAACTCATAGTGACCTTATGTACAACAGCATGAAATACTACATGGTCCTGCAACATCCTCACAGTCATTACTGTGTCTGAGGTCATTTTTACAGGCACTGATTGAGGGGATTCCTCTTTTTTGTCACTCTTCATGGATTGATCCTGTTTGATCACATGTCCAAAGTGTGTGAGACCAAGCCGTGCTAGTCTTACTTCTAAGGAGTATTTGGCTGTACTTTTTCTAAACAGATTTGTTTGTTCTTCCGGAGGTGCATAGTGTATTCAATATTCTTTGCCAACACTATAATTCAAAGGTATCAATTCTTCTCCCTTCTTCCTTATTCATCATTCAGATTTCACATGCATATGAGGTGATTGAGAACGCCATGGCTTGAGTCTGATGCACCTTAGAATAAGGTGTTTCAATTTGTATGTATCAACAAATAAATGAAATGCTGGATGTGCTCACTCATCTATGTCAAGGACTTTAGAGGACAGCTACCTAGACTATTCCAACAGAATGCTGATTATCACACAACATCATTAATATCACATGCAAATAAAATTTTGCTGAAGATCATTCAAAAACAGTTACAGCTATTATATCAGCAGTGAGCTGCCAGAAATTTAAGCTGGATTTATGCGAGGATTCAAAAGAAGAATGAGGGGTATCATTGCTGACTTCAGATGGATCTTGGTTGAAAGCAGAGAATACCAGAAAGATATTTACCTGTGTTTTATTGACTATGCAAAGTCATTTGACTGGGTGGATCATAACTAATTATGAATAACATTGTGAAGAATGGAAATTACAAAAGACTACAATGTGCTCATGAGGAACCTGCACATAAACCAAGAGGCAGTCATTTGACTAGAACAAGGGGATGCTGAATTTTTTAAAATCAGGAAAGGTGTATGCCAGAGTTGTATCCTTTCACCATAATTATTCAATCTGTATGCTGAGAAAATAATCCAAGAAGCTGGATTATATGAAGAATCATGTAGCATCAAGATTGGAGGAAGGCTTATTAAGAACCTGTGATACACAGATGATATAACCTTGCTTGCTAAAAGCAAAGAGGACTTGAAGCACTTACTGATGAAGTTCAAAGAATACAGCCCTCAGTATGGGTTTCAACTCAATGTACACAACCAACAAAAATACTCACAACTGGACCAATACAAAAACAACATGAAAAATGAAGAAAAGATTATCAAGGATTTCATTTTGGACCCAGTTAAAATTTGGGATCCTATTTTGCAATACACATGGAAGCAGCAATTAGAAAAATCAAAGGACATATTGCACTGGGTCAATGTACTGTAAAGGATCTCTCTGTAAAGTGTTAAAGAACAATAATATCCCTTTAAGGACCAAGATGTGATTAACCAAGGACAATGCTATTTTCAGTCACCTCATATGCATGGAGAAGCTTGGTAATAAATAAGGAAGACTTGATGCTTTTGAATTATGATGGTATTGAAGAATATTGACTATACCATGGACTGCCTGAAGAATGAACAAATCTGTCTTAGAAGAAGTACAGTCAGAAATCTCCCTAGACATGATGAAGGTAATACTTCATCTTATGTACTTTGGATATCAGGAGGAACTAGTCTGTGGAGAAGGATATCATGCTTGATAAAATAGAAAGTGAAAAAGAGGAAGATCCTCAACAGAGATTGATTGACACAATGGCAGCAACAGTGAACTCAAACATAGCAACAATTGTAAGGATGGTGCAGGACCTGGCAGTGTTCTGTTCTGTTATACATAGGGTCACTATGAGTTACAAGTGACTGAATGCTATCGAACAACAACAACTTGTGTTGTTGTTGACGAGATGAGTAGTTGGGACAGCGACTGTATGTCCTGCAAAACCTGAAGTCTTTACTATCAGGCCTTTTATAGAAAAATTGTGCTAGCCCTTGGTTAATGAGATTCGATTTTCTAGGGTATTCCAGAATTGAAAGCACCATTAAATTAAATGGTTACTTGATTTGGGTTCACAATTGAATTATGTTAAACTGCAAAAATAATGTTTATAGAGAAAAACAAGGATAAAATCTTTTTCCACCTAGCTCATTCCCAATGATGATAAAAACATTTGCAAACCTTACTATTAGAGAAACGGGAGAGCTGTGGCTCTGTATGATAAGCTCCGGACTATGAACCACAAGGTCAGCTGTTCAAGCCCACCAGCTGCTCCACAGGAGAAAGTTGAGGCCTTCTGCTCCCACAAAGATTAACAGCCTCATAACCCATATAAAGTTGAGTCAGAACTGACTCAATTGACACTTAACAATAACAACAACAAACTGTTATAGGACAGGCCTAAGGCTAAAGTGGCTGTAAGGGAGATTTTTTTGCTGGGATAATTTCTTTTAACACAGTGTCAACTCTCCTTAAGTGTTCCAAAGGCTAGAGAAATCATAGCCATTATATGGAAAACACTTGTCTATGGGATCCTCCCTCTCTCCCCTTGGCAAGAATAATACTCCTGGTAGGATCTTTGTTGCCAACTTGCTCTAGCCCCAAAGATAATCACTCCGAATCTCAATAGTAATACTGTAATGCATATAATCTCTTTGATTGCAAACAAGGACTAAAGTGGTAACTCAGGGAAACTTTTTTTTTTTTTT